TTCTCTGTAAGTTTTGTAGAATTCTTCAGTGAAACCGTCAGGGCCAGGCCTTTTTTTGTAGGGAGTTTTTAAAGTACTTTTTCAATCTCTTCTTTTGTTATAGGTTTATTTAGTTGTTCTATCTCTTTTTGTATTAGTTTAGGTAGGCAGTGAGTTTCTAGAAATTTGCCCATTTCCTCTTGGCTTTCAAATTTGTTGGAGTACATTTTTCCTAGTATTCTGTTATGATTCTTTTAATTTCAGTTGGGTCTGTTGTGATATTGCTCATCTCATTTCTTACTTGGGTTATTTGCTTCCTCTCCTGTTTTTCTTTTGTCAGTTTGGCCAGTGGTTTATCAATTTTGTTGATCTTTTCAAAGAAGCAGCTTTTGGTCTTGTTAACTCTTCCAATTGTTTTTCTATTCTCTATTTCGTTTAATTCTGTAGAGCAATGATTGTTAAACTGTATTTCATGAGTTCTTTCTTGGGGGAACTGGTGTTTGGTGTGAATTCTCTTTCTTAACACAATTTTGCCTATTTATGAAACTGTGATTATTACCATCAATATTTAACTTTAACACATTAGAGGCTAACAGAGAGTTACCTTGACCTCTTAATGTTTGACTTTGCAATATGTAAATGTTATATACTCTTGAACGTAGACAACTAATATATTACTAATAAATACTGTATTACATGTGTAATGTGGAAGGTCTTAATGTGTAATGTTTATGTAAGATTTATTTCAAGAAAAGGGATTTGGTTTAAAACCAGTTGAAGAACCTGTAATGTTAGGAAGGCCAAAGAGGAACCTTTACTTAGAGGTTTAGCCTTGCCATTTTCCAAAGAAGCAATTGTATTTCTTATACCAAAACAAAAAACAAAAACAGCAAACCTGTTGCCATTGAGTCGATTCTGACTCTCATAGTGCCCCTATAGGACAGAATATAACTGCCCCATAGGGTTTCCAAGGAGCAGCTGGTATATTCAAACTGCCAACCTTTTGATTAGCAGCTGAGCCCTTAACCACTGCACCACTGGTTGGTAGAATTTTAATTTTTTCTGGACATACTTGGAAGGTTCCATTTTAATTCTTTTCCATTAGGTATTACTTACCTGGGAAAGGGTCTGACTTCTCACAGTTCCACAAGAAAAGGCTCAAAGACTGATCTGCCTCTACAGGGTTATATGCGACTCTGTCCTTATTTCTTTTACTAGGTGGGCCAATGGCTTTATGAGCATGTATCTTCTGGCCACTGGGTCATCACTGTCAGGTGCTGGGTTCTTCCCAATTTTCCAGAATTTTTAGTGAAGTTCACAGGATAAGAAAGCAGAATAATGTTTGTACCAGGAACAAATATTCGTTAATGCCTAGTGTAAGACCGTGCTCAAACAACCTTAAATACCCAAGTTTAGAAGGAGTTTCCGCAGCTGCCCAGAGAACTATGTGCAAAATGGCGGTTTTTTTCTCTCCCAAAATTCTTTGACTGTTGTCCCCATGGAAGGATTCTCTCAGACACCTCTCAAAAGAAGAACTAAAAGGCTTCAACTGGCCACTGAATATTAGTTATAAACATTTTGGAAACCTCCTTAAGTACAAAAAATAATTCCCCCTGCTGACAAATATTTTCCAGTAGGCTTTATTCTGACTACTGTATAAAGGATGCAAATCCACCCCTACACATGAAAAGATGCTCAACGTCATTAGTCATTAGGGAAATGTAAGTCAAAACCACACTGAGATGCCACTTCACACCCACTAACATAAGTGTAATAAAAAGGACAGTAGTAAATGTTGGCAAGGCTCTGGAGAAATTGGAGCCCTCATATATTGCTGGTGGAAATGTAAAATGATGCAGCCACTTTGGAAATCAGTTTGGCAGTTCCTAAAGAGTTAAGCATAGAGTTACACTATGACCCAGCAAATGTAATCCTAGCATATACCTGAGAAAAATGAAAAATATGTCCACACAAAGACTTGTATCCAGATGTTCATAGCAGCATTGTTCATAATAGCCCAAAAGTGGAAACAACCTTAATGTCCACCAGCTGAAAAATGGATACATAAAATATATCCATACTTTGGACTATTATTCAGCCATAAGAAGGAATAAGTACTGATACATGCTATAGCATGATGAAGCTTGAAAACATAAGTGAAAGAAGCTAGACAAAAAGACCGTATATTGTATGTTCCACTTATATGAAATGTCCAGAATAGGCAAATCCATACAGACAAAACATAGATTAGTGGTTGCTAGGGTCTAGGTTAAGAGGAGAAATAAAAAGTTGGCTTGCTGATGGATATGGGGTTTCTTTTGGGGGAAATGAAAATGTTCTGGAATTAGAGAGCAAAGATTGATGCTCTGCTTTGTAAATATACTAAAAACCACTGAATTGTATACTTTAAATTGGTGAACTTTATGATATGTGAATTATATCGCAATAAAGCTGTAATTAAAAAAATAAAATTTCCAGCAGCTATTTGGCCTGTGTATTGTAGCTTGTTATTAAATTGAAAAATATCTATGGCATGAGTTAATTGAGTTTCAGTTGGAATAAGGATTTACGTCTGGCTTCCAGGTTCTAGTCAGAAAGCTTGAGCCATCACAATTTGCAGAGAGTAAGTACTTGGTTGATACTGGAAAAGGCAAGGGATTGAGTCAGTAGGTTCCTTACAGCTTTTAAGGGAATGAGAGGAATGGTTTGTATAGCAGGTGGTCTCCAGGGAGAAAAACATTGTTTTCCTACTTCTTTTCTTTACTTACTATCCTAGAGGCTGAGTGTGTTTATAATAAGTACCACTTAGCAATAAGTATGCATGTAAGTGTAACAGCTATTTCCCTTTGGGAAGAGATGTTATGGTAAATTAGCGTTCCTTTTTAGTTTGATTTTGGGAATTCTCAGTGATTTTTTTTTTAAAAGAACTTTATCTTCATTGGCTCAAAGTTCACCCATAAAAGTTAAGAATTAGAGAAAGATTCCATCTGGATTAGATTCAAGATGAGTTTAAGTTCTGTTCAGTTGTCGTATTTTACAAGTTTCTCTCTTGCCCTGGGATAATGACAAATCATTTGTAAAGCTCACTTTCTTACTTTGTACCACTCCCTTCTCCACTGTGAACATTTAGGTTGTAGAATGCCATGACCTAATTGCCTAAGGAGATCAAAGACAAACCCATTCTTAAAGATTACCACACATCTTATCACTGGATAACCAAAGTGTGGCGATGAATTTTGGTAGATTTCCAGCCTAGCTGCCAGATTGGAAACTGGTCTTTCACTGTGGAAAAAGTTGCTACAGTTGATCATTTATTTTCTGAATGACATCAGTGAGTTTGGAGCAAATGGAGAACCTTCTGATTTTCCACACAGAGGGTTGACTCTCCTGCCTTAGTGGTTCTTCTTCAGGTAGTTCTTGGCTGTTTTATTTTTCCTTTAGTTCTTTCCCCCTTTTTTCCTAGTCACCTGAGCAGGATTATACTTTTCTCTTTAACTCAGAGTCACATTCAGGGCAGTTTGGTGGTGATTAGAGTATGGGCTCTGGAGCCAGTCTCCCATGTATTAGCTCTATGGCTTTGTTCAAGATATTTAGCCTTGCCAAATCTGTTTCTTTGTCTATGATATGGGGCTAATGATAGTATCATCTGGAGGACTTGCAAGGATTAAATGAGATAATCCATAAAGCAGTTACTCAACATTTATAGAGCACTTAATTTGTACTTTTTGAAGAAAACCAGCAGGCAGCTATTCCTATAGCTTCTGTTAACAAAGCAATTTAAAGGATGCCTAGTTACTCCTTCAGCAAGGTGCTTATCACTCTGTGCTGCAATTTCTTCAGTACTGTGAGAATTAAATGACATAATACATGCACTTATTTATCATAAAAGGATACATGGCTACACCAGGGATTGGTATATTCTGGGGTGGCTGAGCCTTGTCCTGGGGTTGATTTGCATGACCAGCCTCTTGACTGCCCTCTCTTGCTCTTTCAGTGGCACAGTTGGACAGCATCGGCTTCAGCGTAATCAGGAAATGCATCCACGCTGTGGAAACCAGAGGTAAAGTGATTCAGCAGATGACATTGTTCTCAGAGAAGGTCATGCATCTGATGAGGAGTCAGCCCTGCTACCTGCAGTTTCCCAATTTTAAGTGACTCATTAACTCCCCAAGTGCCATACTCTGTGTTTCTGCAAGTTGTGTTGCCCTGGGGCAGGGGCTTTCAACTTATTTTGTGTTATGGACCTCTTTGGCTAGTGAAGCCTATGGACCTCTTTTCAGAAGAATGTTTTTCTATGCATGTAAATTAAAAAAAAAAAAAAAAAAAGAATTACCAAGGAAACCAGTTATTGCAATTCAGTTATCAAAATATATCTAAAATACCCTAGTTGTGATATATCAATATGTTTCTTTGTTAACACATTAAATAACACAAGATATAGTAGTAGGTCTAATAACCAGCATGATTTGGAAGTATTTCAAGATGTCTGTAACAATTTTAATGAGTTATGAAAATATCTGTGATTTCTGAGCAAGTAGGTACTGCTAATGCTACTGTGATGTGTTGCCTACATTCATAATGGAAGGAAATGCTTAATTTCAGTTTTAGGTTAGAGAAAATAAAGATGTGATTGCTTCCCCGATAAAGCTCCTAGGCTTCCTCTGAATTCTATCCAGTGGACCTCTTGGGGTCCATGGACCCGAGATTAAGAACCTCTGCTCTGGGGACCCAGTCCCTGGGTACCATTCAGGTAGAGAGAAGGGCAGAGATAAAGCACCCAACTTCCTACAGTGGTGCTGCAATCAGGCCTTGCCTGTCGCACATTGATCTTTCCTGGGTCCGTAGGAGCAGTGCCTTGAGTTCAGAGGAGCTAGTTAAGCCCAGTAGTTCTCCATCTCCTCCTGCCGCAAAGGAGATGCCTCAGTTCTGGCAGTCTGGAGCTTTGAATGCACTGGTCTATTGTACCCCCGACGAGAGCTGTTAATGATCTTTCCACTGGATTTGATTTGACCATTATCAAAGATGTGAATCTTATTTATTCCACAGCCTTTCATCCTACCAGCCCTTTTTATTTGTTGGAAAGAAATTCTGTCTTTTAAAGCAGGTCCCATAACTCATATTAGTTAAGAAACATGAACTTTTAAAGGAGCTATGAAACATCGGAGGAGGAGGAAAAAAACAAAAACTAGAACCTCATAAGCTTCTACTCTTATACCTAGTCGAAAGGTATTCTTATCCAAAGTACTTATATTAATATGCTGAAACTTTTAATGTTTGCCTATTTTTGCTATGCCTTCCTTCAACAAAAAGTTAAGGCAGCTTACAGAAAACGTAAAATATAATTAAAGACTATAAAGTCAAAATTGGTGAAATTTCTGGGAACTGATCTTGCGGAAATAAAGATATGGGCCAAGATTGAGCCATAAGGATGTTTACACAGTGGTGTTGTTAAGGTGAAGAAAAAAAAAACAGCAACTAGACAAATGTCTCAAAAATTGGCTAAATCAACAGTGGTATATCCATGCAGTAAAAAATATGAAGCACTCAAATGCAGTGGAAATACATTTATTGACATGACAAGATTTTATATATATATATAAATATGTATTATGTATAATATAAAGTGGCAAATGCAAGTTACCAAACAATTTGTCCAGTATAAAAACCCTTTATGGGGGCGGGAGTCTGGTGGAGGGGCGGGATCTGTAGCTTCATGGGTAGCTATCATTGTGTTATCACTGGTTGTCCTGGTGTTTTTTAACTGTCTTTTTTTGATTTATCGATTTACCTTAACTATAGTTTCTAATTTTTTTAAAATAGTAACGTTGAAAATGTATTTTTTCAAAGCTGTAAGATTGCCCCAGCTCTGTTTAATAATTTAGAAAACTTACTAAACACAAACTTATTGCCATGATTCTTTTAGGAAATAGGTCTCTCAAGATGAGCAGTACAATGATAAGTTTTGACCTATGACATCAAGAATTCTGTAAGAATATAAGGGAAAACCACAAACTATAAAATTGATTATCACCATTTAACATCTTCTTTTTTTTTTTTTTTAGGGATATGTTACACATTTTGGGATATATCTTGTAAATATTTTTACAGGTTTTTTTTTTTTTTTTTTTTACAGTATTTTTCCTTTTTTTCTTGTACTTTAGATGACGGTTTACAGAACAAACTAGCTTCTCATTAAACAGTTAGTACACATATTGTTTTATGACATTGGTTAACAACCCCATGACATGTCAACACTCTCCCTTCTCAACCTTGGGTTCGCTATTACCAGCTTTCCTGTCCCCTCCTGTCTTCTAGTCCTTGTCCCTGGGTCTAATTTTTTTGAGCATGTATTACGCAGGTAATTTTTCAACAGAAGTTTTAATTTGTTTTTCATTAAAAAAAAAAAAAAAAAAGCAAGAGAAATAAGAGATGTAGGGTTAACCAAGGTAGAGGCATAAAAATGGAGCCAAGAGTGAGTCCAAAACAAAATGCTTCCCCATGAAGTTCATCTGCTTGCCGAAGATGGGCCACCTGTTTGTCTCTCAGTTTTTCAGCAGCTAAAACCAAGAGGGAAACTAATCATTTAAAACATTTTACAGAGTCTGTGGGATAAATGCAAACCAGTAGCTCAGACAGACAACTTTTCCTGATGCAAAACCAGAAAATATATGCAATAAGTAGTAAAGGAAGAAGAGGGTCACCAATTGTTTTAGTCTGTTAGCCTCTACCTCTTGTCCCCTTCTTCCTTAAAATGAAGATGAAAATGATACTTTTTAACTTCTAAGAAATTTTTCATTTAGCAAAATGGGGAAATAAGAACAGTGTGAGTTAAATACCATTTTAGCCTAAATAGTTGAAGGATGTGGGTATTTATTGTAATGCATGTTTGTACGCACGTTTATAGTGACCATGGATTAATAGACATCCCATACTCTCTGGAGTTTATCATTCGGGGCAGCCAGGATTGTGTAAAGTCCCAGGAAGGCACAAGCCTGAAAGGAACAAGAAGTAGAGATACTTCAGAAAGGACAAGCCCTTTAAGCTTCCATGTTACTGAACCATGGTTCTGCAACTGAGTAACTTGGACTCCTGTCTGTTTTTGACCAGGGGTTCCAAGCCTGTGAACCATGCAGAATGATGTGCATGATTTTACAGATCCTTTTCAGCTGTAAGGTCCTATCATTCTAGATCACTACCTTTTATTCATTAGTTCTACTTCTCTATAGGTCTTGTTGAAGAAACTGCAGAATCAGCCTTTTCCTAAATTTCTTCCAGGAAATTGTGTTTTAGCCCAAAGTATTTTATAATTTAGCTCTGTGTTTTATTCATTATCATGTACCATATACTCATCTAGGGGCTGGGAATGTAATGATGAACAAGGTAGAATCACTTATTATACTTAGAGTTTATATTCTAGTTACAAGAAAAACAAACAAAAACCAAATAAACAAGATAATTTCAGATACTGTTAACTGATATAAAGAAAGTAAAACTGGGGTAGGGGAATGACCAATAGTGTTGGTCGTGGGAGACTTTAAAAAGATTGTGTTTAAGCTGAGACCTATGTGATGGAAAGATCTGGGAAAAGTGCATTACATGTATCAGTGAGTGTGAAGGCTGTGAGGTGGGGCATAAGCTTGGTGTACTGGAGTAACGAGAAGGCCAGGGTGGCTAGAGCAGAGTGTAGGGCCTTACAGACCATGATAAGGAGTTTGGATCATGGTCTAAATGCAGTGGGAAGCCATTGGAAAGTTTTAAGAAAAGAGGTCTAAATTGTCCCCTTTTGTAACTGGTACAGTGGTGATCTAACCTGTGCATTTAAATGAACCAAAGTACTGAGGTGAGTTAGTTCTTGGTTCTCTGAGTATTTGAAATTAAACCCCTTTAGTCCAATTGCACATTTCCTTGGGTTGAGTGAAGAAGGTTCTCTTTTTTTTTTCTTTACAAAGAAGTAGAATATTTACATTATAAATGAATAGACTTTCTAACTTCTCAGTCTTGGCTAACATTCCACGAAATTAAAAAATGTCCTTACATCTCAATATTTTCATTCTGTAAGATTTCATTCTGCAATCTATGTAAGATTAGATTGTAAAACATTTATCCTTTTCTATTGCATGAAATTTTTATCATGTCTTTTTTTTACTTTTTAAATTAAATACTGGTTAAATATGACATATATTTAGAAGTATATATTTTACATCCTTCAAAACTCTTCAAATGCTGCCTTTGGCAAGAGAAGAAGAAGGTTTCTTCTCCCTCTGATGACTGAACTAACGCGAGGGCTGAAGTGTGCAGCACATCCGTGAAATCCTAGACAGCTGTACTAAATCCCACTCCTTCGCTAAGAGTGGAGCTGAGTGACAGGGGACTTTAATTAGAGCAGCTTTTAGAAAGGCTGAGAAAATGAAAAAAAATCCATTTGCCTGGGTTGGCCTGACTTGTGTCCTGACGTGCCTCTAATTAAATCATCACTCTTTCTCTCCTCAGGGATCAATGAACAAGGGCTGTACCGTATCGTGGGGGTCAACTCCAGAGTGCAGAAGTTGCTGAGTGTCCTGATGGGTGAGTGCAGCAGTGGCTCTGGCAGGCAGGTCTGAACAGTCACCAAGGAATTGGGGTTGTGCACAGGGTAACGCCCAGAAATCAGCTGCCCCGCTCACCAGTTGTCGTGGCTGCAGGCATTACTGGAAGAGGTTCTGGGTGGGATTGGCCAAAACAAAAAATGCCAGGTCTGAGGCACCACACCCTCTCTGTTTGTAGACTTGGCCACTGGCAGTCCAAGTGGCGCTTGGTCACTCATGTGACCACCACACCCTACTCTGCCCTTACTAGCTCATGACTCCCTCGGTCCTCTTTTCAGACAGGTATTTAGTGATGCACACCCAGTGCCCAAGGAAGGGCATCATTCTAGCCTGTAGAGGACCTCAGATCTCATGTTCTCTGTCACTGAGAAGGTATCAGGTAACCCCTAGATAAAATGTATATAAGCAGATAATTCTGATCCTCTCCTCTTTGCTTCTAGATTTCAACCTAGTCCTTGTCACTTGACCAGCAGAACCTCCTTTGCATTTGGTGATATAAATATAAAACTACTATCTCCAAATGTGCAGTATTTGAATCAAAAACCCATGAGCCAATGAGCCAAATTTGCTTAGGCTGCAGATTTCCTGTATTTTTGGATACGAATGCAGCCAGCCTCAGTGAGTCACATGGATCTAAATGGCAAACAGATCAGATTTCACAGATCAGTGGCTGTTATTCATCCCCAGGCAAGTCCCAGCCACACGCTTATCAAGACGGATTGGCGTTCAGGGCCCCAGCTCGGTGTTCTGGGCAGAGACGGTTCTCTTTTTAGTATTTGTGATTTCATTTGCCATCCCAATTTCTAAAAATAACTCATCACCTTTTCATATTTAAGGAAACCTCCTCTCTCATGTTGACCAGAACAACTGTCTTCTCTACTTGTTTTTTTGAGTAGTCTACCTGCCTCTTGAGTGCACTAGTGCACTGGTCACAATGAGATCTGTTGTTTGAAGCTATGACTGTTTGTGAGGTACTCTTGCATTGAGTATCTGTTTTTCGGTTCATATTTTGGATGTGGTTAGCTGTTTTTATAATTAAACTTTTTTATTTTGAGATAGTTACATATTCACATAAAGTTATAAGAAGTAATACAGAGAGATCCTGTGTTTTAACCCACTTTCCCCCAATGGTAACATCTTGCAAAAGAGTATTACAATATCACAGCCAGAATATTGACATCGATACAATCAAGATACAAAACAGTTCTATTACCACTAGGATCCCTAATGATCCTTTTAGGGCCTCACCCACTGGCCTTTTCCATCCTTAACCCCCAGCAACTACTAATTTGTTCTCCATTTCTATAATTTTGTCATTTTAAGTATGTTATATAAATGAGTCATACAATATATAACCTTTGAGATTGGCTGGCTTTTTTATTTCTTTACTCAGTGTAATTCCTTCAAGATTTATCCAAGTTGTTGCATATATTAATAGTTTGTACCTTTTTATGGCTGAGTTGTATTCCATTATATAGATGTACCACAGTTTAACTATTCACCCATTGAAGAACATTTGGGTTGTTTCTGGTTTTGGCTATTATGTATAAAGCTGCTATGAAGGTTTTTGTATGAGTATAAACTTGTGTTTCTCTAGGATAAATGTCCAAGAGTATAATTGCTGGATTGTATGATGATTTGGTTAATTTTTCAGAAATTTGAATGTAAGGAGGAATTAAGAGTCTAACAGATATCAATCCTCAGTCTTTCATTTCTGACAAAATTTGTAAACATTTCTGAAGTGTCTAATTTCTGAAAAAAATTGTTGAGTGCTAAAGACTGAACTTTAGAAAAGAGCTACTCCTTGTCTGCAAAGAGCCCTGGGAGGGAAGGGATATGCATGTATATCAAAGCTGTAATGTAGAACATGATGTGGGCACCTCCAGTGAGCTGGGTTTGGAAGATTGAATAGTGAGGGAGAGAGTAGAAGAGTGATTTGATCTCAGGGAATATTACGAGCAGTGGCATGGTGGGAGGAAGACTCTAGACACAAGCCAGTGATGGCTATAACAGAGGGTGTTGATTCTATTGTTAATACTATTTTAATATTTGAAAGAAGCACTTAAGGCTGGGGTAGCTGGAAAGCTAAGATGGCCCCTTTTGTAGAGAACTTGATAATTATGCTAAGGACTTTGGGTCTGTTTCTTTTCTGTAGGAAGTGATGTTAAAGTTTTCTAAGTAGTAGAGTTGTATGTATTAGGACTCTTGCTCACAATGCAAGAAGACAATTCAGAAGAGTTTACGGGGGGAAAAGCATTTATTTGCTCACATAACTGCTAAGTCCAAGGTGGTGGAAGCGTGGCAGGGTCTGGTGACTCAAAAGACATCTTTGAATTTTCTGGAGCCTTTCCCACTTTTTCCCTTGGCTTCTGATTGTTTGTGAACTCTGCTTGTCTTGGTATTGGCTTTATTCTCTAATAGACTTTATTCTCTGTGGGAAAGAGCATCCCAGATAGCTCCAGCCTGAGCTGGAGATTGTGATCACTGAGAAGAGAGGGTGTTTCTTTTTTTCTTTCTCTATTAATTGGGCTTTAGGTGAAAGTTTACAGCTCAAGTTAATTTCTCATGCAAAAATTTATACACATATTGTTATGTGACCCTAGTTGCAATTTCTATAATGTGACAGTACACTCCCTCTTTCCACCCCAGGTTTCTTGTGTCCATTCAACCAGTTCATGTCCCTTCCTGCCTTCTCATCCTGCCTCTGGACAGGAGCCACCCATTTGGTCTCATGTATCTGATTGAACTAAGAAGCACACTCTTCACAAGTATTATTTTATATTTTATAGTCCAGTCTAATCTTTGTCTGAAGAGTGGGCTTTAGGAATGGTTTTAGTTCTGGGTTAACAGAAAGTCCAGGGGCCATGGCTTCGAGAGGGTCTTTCTTGACAATTTTTGCAGAAGATGCCATAGAGGACCAATCACATGGCTCACGTCTCGATCTCAGGCCAGTCACATGGTACATGGCAGATGGACCATCCTGGCCAGGCCTGGATCCTGTGCCTATTTCTGGTTATGTGTGTGTGTTGAGGGGAGGTTGAAAGGAAAGGGCCATCAGGGGTTAGTTAGTCCATGGACTGAGCAGGATTATTAATAGAATGATGGCGGAGTGCTTCCCTGAAGCAATGGCTGCTGGCTAGGTTTAAAAAACAACACCTAAAAAAAAAGAAAGTGTCCAATATAAGTAAGACAAGATTAAATTGTAGCTTTAGGAAGATAACCCTGGCAGCAATGTCAATGTGCAGCTTGTATTTGATCATGAAAAACATTAAGGAAACAGACAGTTTAGGAGACAGTCACAATAGGTTAGGCAGAGCATACCGTATCAAGGGCTAACCAGATAGCTGTTCTCAGCTCAGGAAGAAAGGACAGACTCAAAATGATTAGAAACTCAGCAGGACTTTGTAACCAACTGGGTGTGGGAGAGTGGAAGGGGTAGAGAGAGACTTCAAAGATGGGAGAATATCATGTAAAGTGACATTAATAAAAAGAAATATGACATTTTAAACTGGCTTACTAATTTAAGAAAGAACAACCTTAGCTCAGTTGTGCTAAGGAAGGAAAGTGGTTATGAAAGAATCTTGTTTTTATCACTTAGTGACCCTCAAACAAGATATTTGTCCAGTTCTCTTCCTTAGTCTTCCCACGGATAAAGTAATCGTGAACATCTGAGGAATATCAGGAAAAACTAATAACTAGCAGCTGAAAATCACAAGGCCCACTGCCTCTGCCAGAAGGACGTCACAGATAGACTAGAATCCAAAGTGAGGTCCAAACAGAGCTGAGAGATGACCATGGTGCAATATCAGATTAAAAGATGAGAATGGTATCTGTGACTCTCACTCCTAGTTATGTTAGCCAGTTCTGAATCTTGGAATTGAAAAATTTCCCATTAAGCTTGGGACACTTAGAACCTGAAGAGAAAGCTCTGTCTCCCTTCCCATTTGTGATCATGCCCATCAGAATTTGGTACTGGTACTGGGCTGGGCTAGCCAAGAATGTAAAATAAATTTTACTCCAAACCTATACTCCAAAACCGTTCCCTGAACTGCCTGGGCTGAGTGTGAACCATTCGTTCGTTATCTCTTTATCGTATATGCATCAGATACCCTAATATATGCCAGGCACTATGTAAGATTGAGTTTGTCAGACGCTCTCTAAAGTGGAATAGTGTGCTTTATTATTGAAAGTGTGTGTAAAAGTAAAAACCAGAGACTTCTGTTGATCATTTTGAGTTTATGCTCTGCTCTCTTAACCTTTTGAGGGACTTCAGGTTGGAAGAGGAATACAAGGGCCAGTGCTTTGAGACTGTCTATGTTTACTGTTTAGGATTTCTTAAGAAAGCTGGCTAGAATTTCATACAGCCTTGTGCTACTGTCATGCCAAGAGTTACCCTTGATCCCTTCCTCCTAGCAACAGAGGTCATTAATCTTTGGAGAATGAAAAGGACTTGGGGAGACTTACAAATTCCTAGAAATAGATGATCTTTTGTGCGTGTACTGGGTTTTTGTTTGTTTGTTTGTTTCCCTGCATGTTAGGAGAAGATAAATTTTTCCATATTTTAGCCTAACATTTGTTTTTGTTTTTTTACATCAATTATATGCCTGTACAGATCTTTCTTCCTTTCTCTCCCTGTGTATTTTAAATCACTTTTTTTGTATTAAAAGTTAGGCATGGTCATTGTAGAAAATTTGGAAAGAAGAAAATTAAAATCCTGCGGAGTGCAGATAACCTTTACAGACTGTTTATCATATCACTGTTACCTTTTAAATATAATACGATATAGCATAACATATCATGTTTACAAAATTAGATTCACACTGTGTACATATACTGCTTTTTAGCAGGCTTTATTCATGCAACACTATAGAGTGTCTTTTTTCCCATGTTATTCAAGTTCTTCTAGAGTGTGATTTTCTTGGCCACATATAGTGTAGATGTACTATAATGTTTTAATAAGTTCACTCTTCTTGACATTTA